TATATATATATATATATATATATATATATATATATATATATATACATATGTGTGTGTGTATGTGTGTGTGTATATATATATATATATATATATATATATATATATATATATATATATATATATATATATATACATTCAAAATGTGTATGTATATGTGTATCTGTGTTTGTTTGTGTGTGTGTGTGTGTGCGTCTGTGTGTTTGCGTGTGTGTGTAGAGGCCAGTATATCTATCTATCTATAAATATATACAAATATACATATACATATAAATATGCACCCCTACACACACACACACACACACACACACACACACACACACACACACACACACACACACACACACACACACACACACACACACACACACACATATATGCGTATATTTAATATGTGTATGTATATATCATTTGGTACATGGAATGTTAGAACACTACGTGCCACGGGGAAACTGCAAGAACTCACCCACGAAATAGCAAGATATCAATGGAACAATGGACTCTGTGAAATGAGGTGGAAGAGCTTTGGAGAAACCATGACTGATAAAGGACACAAGATCTACTTCAGTGGCAGAGACGACAGACATCATTAAGACATCGTGAACTGCACTCTAGGATGTCAACCAGTTTCCAGCCGTATCATTACCTTACGAATGCGAACAAGCCCTTCAACATCACAGTCATATGCTCCAACTACAAACCGCAGCGACAACGAAGTAGAGGACTTTTACGACCAGCTACATCTTGATAGTCCAAGGAGACTGGAACGCAAAACTTGGAAAGGAGGCGAAGAAAGATTGGCCAGATACCTGTGGAGGACATTGCAATGAAGACACCAATGACAGAGGGATTTGGCTCCTGGAGTTTGCTAATTACAAAAACCTCATTCTGGCGAACACTCTTGGCCCCCACAAAGCATCCAGAAGATGGACATGGCACCACCTACATGGAATGCATCACAGCCAGCTTGACTACATCTTAGTGCAGAAAAGATTCAGGTCGTGCATCAACATCGCAAGAACAAGGAGCTTCCCAGGAGCAGATATTGGCAGCGACCACGATTTGCTGATGAGGAGTTTTCGCACCCGTCTAAAGAAATATAACAAGCCAAAAAGCATTAGGTTGAAATTTGACCTGGACAAGTTAAGAGACCCAGATGTTGCAGACTCCTTCAAGTCCATGATAGGCGGGTAATTTGCTCCTCTCCTTATTCTTCAGGAGGATGAACTGGACTTAGACCAAACAGTAGGAAAATTCAACACAGCTGTTCTAGAGACTACAAACCAGGTGTTAGGCAAACGCCAAAAGAGAAGAAACCATGGGTCACCACAGAGATTCTCGACATGTGTGACCAACGACGAGAACTGAAGAAAAAGAAAGGAAGTGTGGACGGAGCAATGCAATATCGAGCAGTCATCAACAAGATCAGGAGATCCATGAAAAAGGCAAAGAAAGACTGGATAGAGAAACAATGTAGTGCAGTAGAGGAAAACCTCCAGAAGAACAACACAAAGCAAGCATTCCAGACCATCAAAGATCTCACCAATACCAACAAAGGGAAATGTTTGACAGAAGAACAACACATTCTCTCAAGGTGGACTGAATACTGTTCAGAACTGTACAACCATTCAACCAAAGGTGACCCTGCAGTACTTAATTGCCCTCCTTCAACCAACTAGGACACCAACCCCATTCTGCGAGAGGAAGTAGAAGCAGCTGTTAAGTCCCTAAAGAAAGAAGTCTCCTGGAATGGACAACGTTTCAACAGAACTGATCCAAGCAGGTGGAGAAACCATGATTGATGCCCTTACAAACATCTGCAATAAAATCTGGCAGACAGGAGAGTGGCTAACCTGCTTGATACGATCACTGGTCATCACACTACCAAAGAAGAGTAATCTGCAAAAGTGCCAGAACTACTGGACCATCCGTCTCATAAGCCATGCCAGCAAAGTCATGCCGAGGATACTTCACAATAGACTGAAACCACAGGCAAAGACCATCATTGCTGAAGAACAGGCAGGAAGAAACACAACAGAACAGATCTTCAATCTAAGAATTATATGTGAAAAACATCTTCAGCACCAACAGGATCTGTACCACGTCTTCATCGAGTATGGCACGGCGCATTGTGGGCCACTATGAGGAAATACAACGTCAATGCCAACCTCATCAGAGTCAGTGAACAACTTTATGACCATGCCACAAGTGCTGTACTACTGAATGGCAACACGGGTAAATGGTTCCGAACGACTGTCGGAGTCAGACAAGGCTGTCTTCTATCACCTACCCTGTTCAACATTTTCTTGGAAAGGCTGATGACACTCGCACTAGAAGACCACAAAGGATCAGTCAGCATTGGTGGCAGAACTGTCACCAACCTGCGTTTTGCTGATGACATTGACGGCTTGGCGGGCAGAAAGGATGAACAAAACCACCCTGTGGAGCGCCTTGACAAAACATCACAGGCCTATGGTATGGAAATCAGCGTAGAAAAGACAAAGCTAATGACCAACAACTCAAATGGCATTAAAGAAACATTGAAGTTTTGGGTCAGAAAGTCGAAACCGTTGACAGTTTCAAATATCTTGGCGCCATCATCTCAGACGCTGGATCCAAAAAAGAGATCTTGACCAGAATTGCACAGTCAACAGCAGCACTGACAAAACTAAAAAAAAAATGGCAGGACAAAAACATCTCCCTAGCATCGAAAACCAGATTCTTGCGTATTCTTGTCATCTCAATATTCTTGAACGCTTGTGAATCGTGGACCCTCAACGCTGACACCCAGAGACGAGTTGAGGCGCATGAAATGAGATGCTACCGAAAAATCCTGAACATCTCATACAATGATCACATCACCAATGAGGAAGTGTGCAACAGAATTTACACAGCCAGCGGTGCACATGACACTTGCTAAGCATTGTAAAGAAAAGGAAAATGACCTGGTATGGACATATATATATATATATATATATATATATATATATATATATATATATATATATATATATATATATATATATATATATGTAGATAGATAGATAGATATACATATATATATATATGTATATATATGTATATATATATATATATATATATATATATATATATATATATATATATATATATATATATATATATAATGTGTATGTATATATCTATGTGTGTATGTATATACACACATGTATATATATGTATATATATGTATATATATAAATAGACATATATATATATATATATATATATATATATATATATATATATATTTAGACATATATACATATATATACATATATTTAGACATATATACATATATATACATATATTAATACATATATATATAATATATATATATGTAATATATATATAATATATATATACACATATATTTTTTCACATGTATGCATATACATATATATACATATATCAATACATATGTATACATACACATATATCGTGTATGTATTTATATATCTATCTATCTATCTATCTATAAATATATACAAATATACATATACATATAAATATGCACCCCTACACACACACACACACACACACACACACACACACACACACACACCACACACACACACACACACACACACACACACACACACACACACACATATATGCGTATATTTAATATGTGTATGTATATATCATTTGGTACATGGAATGTTAGAACACTACGTGCCACGGGGAAACTGCAAGAACTCACCCACGAAATAGCAAGATATCAATGGAACAATGGACTCTGTGAAATGAGGTGGAAGAGCTTTGGAGAAACCATGACTGATAAAGGACACAAGATCACTTCAGTGGCAGAGACGACAGACATCATTAAGACATCGTGAACTGCACTCTAGGATGTCAACCAGTTTCCAGCCGTATCATTACCTTACGAATGCGAACAAGCCCTTCAACATCACAGTCATATGCTCCAACTACAAACCGCAGCGACAACGAAGTAGAGGACTTTTACGACCAGCTACATCTTGATAGTCCAAGGAGACTGGAACGCAAAACTTGGAAAGGAGGCGAAGAAAGATTGGCCAGATACCTGTGGAGGACATTGCAATGAAGACACCAATGACAGAGGGATTTGGCTCCTGGAGTTTGCTAATTACAAAAACCTCATTCTGGCGAACACTCTTGGCCCCCACAAAGCATCCAGAAGATGGACATGGCACCACCTACATGGAATGCATCACAGCCAGCTTGACTACATCTTAGTGCAGAAAAGATTCAGGTCGTGCATCAACATCGCAAGAACAAGGAGCTTCCCAGGAGCAGATATTGGCAGCGACCACGATTTGCTGATGAGGAGTTTTCGCACCCGTCTAAAGAAATATAACAAGCCAAAAAGCATTAGGTTGAAATTTGACCTGGACAAGTTAAGAGACCCAGATGTTGCAGACTCCTTCAAGGCCATGATAGGCGGGTAATTTGCTCCTCTCCTTATTCTTCAGGAGGATGAACTGGACTTAGACCAAACAGTAGGAAAATTCAACACAGCTGTTCTAGAGACTACAAACCAGGTGTTAGGCAAACGCCAAAAGAGAAGAAACCATGGGTCACCACAGAGATTCTCGACATGTGTGACCAACGACGAGAACTGAAGAAAAAGAAAGGAAGTGTGGACGGAGCAATGCAATATCGAGCAGTCATCAACAAGATCAGGAGATCCATGAAAAAGGCAAAGAAAGACTGGATAGAGAAACAATGTAGTGCAGTAGAGGAAAACCTCCAGAAGAACAACACAAAGCAAGCATTCCAGACCATCAAAGATCTCACCAATACCAACAAAGGGAAATGTTTGACAGAAGAACAACACATTCTCTCAAGGTGGACTGAATACTGTTCAGAACTGTACAACCATTCAACCAAAGGTGACCCTGCAGTACTTAATTGCCCTCCTTCAACCAACTAGGACACCAACCCCATTCTGCGAGAGGAAGTAGAAGCAGCTGTTAAGTCCCTAAAGAAAGAAGTCTCCTGGAATGGACAACGTTTCAACAGAACTGATCCAAGCAGGTGGAGAAACCATGATTGATGCCCTTACAAACATCTGCAATAAAATCTGGCAGACAGGAGAGTGGCTAACCTGCTTGATACGATCACTGGTCATCACACTACCAAAGAAGAGTAATCTGCAAAAGTGCCAGAACTACTGGACCATCCGTCTCATAAGCCATGCCAGCAAAGTCATGCCGAGGATACTTCACAATAGACTGAAACCACAGGCAAAGACCATCATTGCTGAAGAACAGGCAGGAAGAAACACAACAGAACAGATCTTCAATCTAAGAATTATATGTGAAAAACATCTTCAGCACCAACAGGATCTGTACCACGTCTTCATCGAGTATGGCACGGCGCATTGTGGGCCACTATGA